GTAGGTAAAAATTTGTACTTAAATATCCAATGTTACAAAAACAGTAAAATAAGTCTTGAGATAGAAAATGCATTGGAGCCGTACATTTAATTGTACTGAATCTCAATGATGCCGACATTTCTGGTGCATTGTGGGAGCATCTGCATCCACACAGATCAATATTTAAAGAACGAGGAAGAAGACCGACTCGTCGTTATCAAATATGAAGCTACAGTGTGGATAAACAAACACAGATGTCAGGCGGAAGGGGGTCAGATTTGACGGAGCTTGAGGATTACACTTGTGTGTTTGTGTCTGGCAGGTCCTCACACAAAGGGATTTTCTTTTTCTGTAAATATGTGTTTGCAAAAGGATCAGAGACGGATGCATGCTGTAAGTTTAAAAATGGAAGCAAGTAATACCTTTAAATACTAAGAGTAGGGAGAAAGAGGAGTGTGTATGAAGCATGACACATCTGTGTGTACAATTCACACATGGGAGAACATGAATAATAACTCCAAATCAGCTGTGATAGGATCAGACTAGTTAAACCTCCCCCCAAAGACCCTCTAAGCTGCTTTCAGGTCCTTCTTAGACCGCTTAGATTCATTAGCGTCGGTGTTAGTATCCCTGCCCCTTATGTTAAAGATATCTAACCCCACATCCTGAATCAGACTTGCAGTAAGTATAATAACCCCCCTACCCCATCTCTATCTGCAGCCATGCAGACATCCTCTTTAACCTGAGAGACACTGCTTAATCTGTCCCACACCCACCGTCTCACAGGAACAGAAAAACAACCACCCGCATCCCCTCTATCTTGTAATTCCCATCTCAGCCCATTCAGTGATTGCACACAGCGATGTCAGCGATGTTTCAAGTTACTTCAAATGAAGACGGATCTTTGAGCTTCATGAGAGACTGGAGAAAAAGAGATGCATTTAGGAATGCAGACAAGACACGCTGCGTCTTGTGCGAGGGAGACAAAGTTCCCCCGGTTTCCCATCTTCCAACTGATTATCGACCGCTGCCGCAGCTGAAGTTAACGCAGCCTCCACAAATGGATCTTTACTAAGTGCAGGTCGGAGCTCCCTTCCTCTCCTCGCCTGCACTGATGCACGTCCCTGAAGACGTGCCTTTCTCCTCGCCCTGCATCTCACTGTCGAGGCACGGTCGGTCAGGAGGTAAAAAACCCCTGCATGTTTTTTTTTTCTTTTTTCTGCAAAGCAGAAACAAGCCAGACCGGTTCATCAGAATGACACACAACACCAATGTCAACAATCATGTTGGGACAACACGCACGGCTCTTGGCATCAACACTGCACAGGATTGGATGCTAATGATTGCTTATGGTACAAGTGCATTGCAGCCTGTTTGACCTATCTGACTTACACTGGACCACAGTGGAAAAAAAATACATGTGTACCTGTTCCCTCACCTATGGTCACTGCATATGCATCATGTTCAAACCAACATATGTTAAAAATCTTGCATCAAGTCACTTAAAGTAGACAACAGGAAATTGGCCAAAAATCTAAAAAAAAAAGAAGCAAGAAATTAATTTGAGAATAGACAAGAAACTAGGGGTGCATTCACACCAGTCCCGTTTAGTCCGCTTTAATTGAACTCTCGTTTGTAGAGTTGACAATGCCCAATCGAACTCTGATGCGGACCAAGTAAGCAGTGAAATACGCTTGAACAACATACATGTACAAATAAATGTGTATAGGTTGTCTTTAAATGGAGGAAATTGATGGGATAGTGAATTATTTGGACAATACGGATCTTGTGTTTCAAAACGGTTCTGGTACAGATCAGTTGTTGGCCACTACTGGATCAGTATGAACATTTTCTGGCTCCGCCACTATAGGGACAGCTTGGGATCCACCAGAAATAGTAGGAGTGTCGATGGAAACAGGAACGTCTGGGTGTACCCCCTGGACCTGTAACCTCTATAACCCGACCTCTAATAAGCAGAAGACAAATAGCTGGATTGGTTGATTTTCAAAGGGACTTTCTAATCCCATAGGTGATACTTTTTCAGCTGAAGAAAAAGCTGAAACTACGAGGAGGCCATTTCTTTTCCCCCCCAAAAACAAAAGTAAAAATATGAAGTAAAATGTTGTTCTTGGCCCAGTCTGTAAAAAAAAAAAAAATGAAATAAATGTCAGTAGTTCCTGTAAGTGAGTCAGAAATTCCAACTTAACTTCTCTATTTGACAGGGGGGGCAAACTATGAAATTTCCACTGAAGTGAAAAGGGAAAACCCTCCTCTTCTCCCAACAAACAAACACACATTCACTTAACAAGCCACACAAGAAGAACAGCCTTATCCCTGACTCCATCCCCACTTCTTCTATTTCACATTCTTTCACTTTTATTTTGCACTTCGCCCACAGGCATGTCGTCATACCGTGAACCGACTGAATGCCTCCCGGATCACCTGCTGCGGCTTCTCCCGTTCGTTCATTGCACTCTCTCTCTCTCTAGAGTACAACATAGAAAGTCTTCATACCTTCACGCCACTGCAAACAAGCAATGTGAAGACTCTCTGCTGAGTTGTCCAACGCTCACGTTTCAGGGTTGAACTGATGCCAACAGAGGCAGAATCGAGTTGTTCCGTCGGCTGCGATAGGAATACGAGTGTAACCGTTAGATGAGGAGGTGACGCTAGTGTAAATATGGATGAGGGAAAACCAAAGACAGGAAAAGGAGTCTCTCTTTTCCTTTCCCCCATCAGCTTCCTTTCTTTCTGTCTCCCTGATCTGACCTTCAAATGTCATGAGTGGCGCATCCTCTTATCTGAACTCTTCCCTCTGGTTGACACATCCCCGCCTGTCAGCGAGGCGGTCGCGTCTTTCCCTTCTCCCGGTTTATCTGCCAGTCCAGTCGCTGTCATTCACACGTACTTATATCTGTCCTCCTGTTCCAGTGCAGGCACCTTCAGCTACCAGTGTATTCCTTATATGTGTATATTATGCCGTGTCTCGTCTTTTTATTCCCCACCAAAGCTAAATCGTTGAAATAGTCGCCATGTCTTTACAACTCTTTTGTATTTATCTGAAGTTTATGTCTTGGGTTAAAAAAAAAGTAATTTAAGTTGGATTTTAACCACAGAGATCTTTGTTTTTTGTGCAAGTCACCAAGTCATGCTGCGGTTATGTTCTTCCTAGTGGAAAAGGTCACTGATGTTGGCAGAGGAAGGGGAAAAAAAGGGCTTATCTTATTTTTTTAAGAATTTATTTGTTTTAAAATTCATCAGATGGTTGAAATATGATCTCTTTGTGATGCCTTATCCAGTCAAATAATTTGTTGGTATTCAGCTGGCCAAAATGTACAATTCCTTAGTGTTTTTTATTATACATTTTAGATTTTCTTGGCTAAATTTCTTATGCATGGCTGTGAAAAGGTATTTTCCACCTTGCAGATTTCTTCTGTTTCTGTTTTTCTGTCCAGCTTCAATGTTTCAGATCACAAACAAACAAATGTTAACATCAAAGACAACTTAGATAAATACAAAATAAAGCTTTAACTGAGGATTTCATTTGTTTAAGGAAAATTGATATCCAAACCAACATAGTCTTATTGTAAAACAAACAAACAAAAAAAAACCTTCCCTCTTGTTAAATCATGAATTACCTGTGATAAGCCTTATTTATTTATTTATTTATTTATTTATTTATTTATTTATTTATTTATTTATTTATTTACCACACCCAGGACTGGAATAACTCAATATCACTTGTTAGGCAACAAAAAAATGGCTAAATGATCTAAAAAAAGCAACAAAGCATCTGTCAGAATGAAGAGGGTAACAAGGCCGCAGTAAAACAGCTGAAACACTGAGTGCCTTTAAATCTCCACTTAAAACCCACCTGTTTAGAGTTGCTTATGGAACATAAACAACAATTGGGATTTGAATCCCAACATGGGGTCAAGCGCTAGGGAGAAAAGGGGTTTAGAGCCCCCTCCCCATTGTTTGAGAAGGGGTCTGGGTTGGTTTTAATCTGTACCAAACCTGTTCTGTTTTAGCATGTCAATGAAAAAAAAAAAAAAAACAGCAAAACATAATTTACTTCTGCTATTGTATTTTTTTTTGTTTTACTCTTTCACCTTCTGTTAGTTATACAGAGTTACTTGCTTTTTATTAAATTACATTTCTGAAGATAAGAGGAAGCAACAAAGTGTTTCTGCGGACTATCTGACTCCCGTTTCCCCCTAGAGGAGAGCTGTGCTTGCCAGGGAAGCTCTATGGTCTCTGTTTTTTTTTTTCTGCCGTTTTGTCATTGAGGAGAAGCGAGATCTGAGGCTGGGAAAAACCTCCGACCACAAGAAAGTCTTGGAGGCATAAGCAGGCTGACCCACACATGTGGAGCTCGCCTAAAGGCGGAGAACAAAAGACAGCTATTTTAAGAGGTTTTTGTGGAAGTAGCTTGATCCGTGTGTTTTTTTTTCTTTCTTTTTTTTACCAGAATCCGATGAGAGTTGAATATCGTATATCAGCGAAACTGCTTTATACTTAATCACTTAAAAGCTTTAAGAGTCAGTTCATTGCTGTAGTACATTAGAGTCATTTAACCCAGCTCTACGTTATGTCTTATAAATCCATTATGAGTTTTTCAATCGACCTGCATCAGAAGAGACTTGTAGGAGATGGTCACTTACAGAATTGACTTAACATTAACATTTATTAAGTAATATTATTACTTATTTGTCTTTCTTTATTTTCTGTATGCAGGCATCTGGGGTCAAACCTCTTTTCACACCTAAACACATTTTATCTTCTAAGGTTTAGATCTCCCTAAGGCGAGACTGCAGATTGTATATGTGAGTCTGACTCTAACCACTAGATGGAGCCATTTCCTCTTTATGAAGAATCATGTTTTAATTTTGGCCTACTTTCCTCATGTTGCATCGCTGCTGGTGGGACTCCTCTGGGAGAGCATTAATTATGTTATTTTATCAGTCCTGCCCGCTGATTGGTCACTGCATGCACTCATGTGTGTTTTTCTGTCCCATCAGACTGCAGCTACACCTGTCACCTGGAGTGTGAGAGACAGGTCCAACTCGACTGCAACCAGAGGGACAGAGACTCAGAAGACAGCCCAGGTCCCAAAGGCCACTCTTCCTCCTCCTCCTCTTCCTCCTCTGCAGCTCCTCGGTGCAAGGTGAGACGATCTGGATTGGGTTGGAAGAGCGAGGTGAACATGACTCAGTTCTTTACAGCTAATAGGGTTGTCTTTGCGTCATCATTCCAAGCCTCCTCTGTTACGTAATCGTCCTCCGCTCCAACAATAGGCTATCCAGGATCACTTCAGGATTTATTTATGTGCTCAGATACCCTTTTTCGCTCACAGAATGTTCCCAGAACCGGACGCTACATTAAATCAACATCTGCCTACAACCTCCTCTGTTGCTTACTCTCCAGTTCCCCCACTTTTATTTTTTTTTTCTTCTTTTTTTAGCCTCCCCATCTCCTTCTCTCCAGCAGCAGGGGTTCACTTTATCGAATCAGTTCTGGCCCATGATGGCCTCACTTCCTCTCTTCCTGTCAGAAGGAGGAAACCAATTAGGTTAATCACTGTTTCTCCCAAGGGACATCAGTCACGGCAAAGCTGCATTATCCCAACATGTTTTCTTTGATCTCTGACGAAGCCCCACCCCCCGTCACAGAACGACTTTAGTGCGAATGTTGGTCAACATTTTCCTTTAATCTCAAATCATTTCTAAAAGTCGAGATGTAATTATGTCAGATTAATCCTGAAATAATCAGCCATGAAAGGAGTTGTGGTTAATTATGTAAATCTGTTCTGTATCCATTATGAGTTAATGTTACAGTGGGCTGTAGGATCAATGTTGGTGTAATCTGCATTTTGCTGGCAGAGATGAGCCTATTAAGATTACTACATTTTTAAGGGTCCAGATAACACTGTTTAGGGTTCATACAGCTGGAAAAAAACCCCCATCTAATTGGCTTTTAGAGTTTTCCAGGTTTCCATTAGTGTGGAAACAATTAAACCCAGAATGAAAGAGGGTTTGACTTTACAGACTTTTGTCCTTCTTTTATCTTCTAAAAGACAAAATCCTAATAAATGGTATTTTTTAATAAACAGATTTAGATTAATTTGACATATTTTACCTGGATCTGACAAATCTCACACTGATTTTTATCCCTTTACTCATCAGTATTTTAGTTTAAATTTAAAACGGTCCACTTTATTGCCAGGGCCTGAATTTATGGAGCCCCCCCCCAAGGAAAATGGGGGATTTTTTTTTGAGTTGTCAGTGTCTTTGTCGTGGAGAGAAGCTGAACAGACGAGACTGGAAAACGCAACAATCTTGAAAACTAATGATCTCAATCATTTTAGACATTCTGTAATAAGTGTAGCATAATTTAGTCAGATTTGACAAACCCATAGTTCTTATGTAGCTGATTTGGACCCCACATCTTCAAGGAAAAACATTGAAGACGCCCCCTAAAGTAAATATTTATTTAATTTGAAATGTGTTTCATAGAATCTTTTGGTAGGGGAAATCGTTTGGTTTGACCAGTTCAAGTAGTTTGGATTTTAATCTGCAGACAATCAAATGGATGTTAAATGAAATAGTTCTTTAGTTCAGCAGCTAAAGGAAGCTACAAAGCAGATGCAAACTTTGCTAACATCACATCTAAAAGGTGCATAACAGTTAGCCAGTATTCTCATCGTCCTCACAAATCATTCGTAATCAGAGTGTTTTTTCTATCCTAACACCGTATATCAACACAGCAACTCAAAAACTGTCCAGGTAGCAGCTCCATACATACTGGTACAAGCTAACAAGCTAAAAGCCCTTATGTCACATCTAGGGCCCATATCACCAGCACACACTACACCAGGTAAAATCACATGCTGACAGCAAACTAATGACGCTTTGTGGCACACACATCTCTTTGACGAGACACGCTGTGACATTTTAATATCGTGAGATCTCATGGCCCAAGATCAATACCTGGAGAGCATATGGGACTAAAGGTGACGTCACACGAACTGGATGTTTCTAGAAATGAATAAAAGCGTGGAGACTGATCAGGGAAGCAAGCCAACAACAACAACAATACCAGAGCAGGCTTTTCATGAGAATATCATTGTCTGCAGATATAGCAATCGCATGCAAATTCTGCCCAAACCTGACGTGTATTTTTAGTGGCTGGGATACTAAAACTTACAAAGAGTTACCGGGACAATGTGATGAAGAAAAATTAAGAATAAGGACAGGAAAATAGGCTTTTTTCATAATTACTATCCATATCACATTATTAAACCATACTGTCGTAATTCCTTTTTTTTCTGATTTTGTGCAGCCCTTGTCTAGAGTACAGAGTAAGTGGTGCAACTTTTTAGTTATTGTGCTTGATATAATGCTTGTTAACAGATGTGTGTTTCTCTTTAAGTTCCTCTGTCATTTATGGGAGTGCACACCTCCCATAAAATGTTGTTAGCTGAATTTTGGAAGCAAATGAACAACAAGCTCGTCATAATAAGCTATGCCTAAAAGAAGCAAAACAAGTGCAATCTCTGTTTTGCACATATTTATAAGACTGAGGTTTGTCTCTGTGCACACTGTGGTTTGGCGCAAAATATCGCAGCAGCGCTGCAGACCAGAGAAAAGACGAGTGTTTATTTCCTGCTGTCCCCCTTTTTTCATTTGCTCTGTTTTATCGCTGTAGCTGTGTGTCTGGTTGCTTTTTTTTTTTTTGCCAGCCCTTTGTTACTTTGTGTGTGTCTCAGCAAAAATTGATCCCCGCGCGCCCCGACATGCCCAGATGCTGCTGTGGCTGCACTCACAATTCAAAGCACTGACCAATTTTATTGATCGGAGGCGCGTATGTGTGCGTGTGTGCGTGCGTGTGTGTGTGTGTGTGTGTGTGTGTGTGTGTGTGTGTAGTTTTTGCATCCCCCCTTTTTGCTGTCTTCCCCTTTAACGTTTATAGAGGAACAAATCCGCATGCGGTTCCCTTTGAGCAGAGCCAAAGCTTACGGACAGATGCCGAGTGAAATGGTGAATCAGTTCTACCGTAACAGAAACCAGTTCTGCATTGGTGAAGATTCAAAAGCAGCTTTACCGAAACTCGTTCAGATGGAATCAATATCATGGTTGAAGCGAGGATAGGGGGAGGCTTCGGCTCTTTTCTGACATGGGAGGTCACCAGCAGAGAGAAAGGGCAGATCGTGTGTTCAGTGTAAGGTCAGAGGTGACCGGAGTCGCCTTTACTGGGTAAATGATCAATATTTTATTCCTCTAAATCGACACAAACCCGTCTCTTCAGCAGAAAATCAGCAGACGTAAGACAGAAGGATTGAGGATCTCTCAGCTTTTAAAGGTGTATTTCAATAAATTACAACGTAATTGAAAAATCCATTTAGTAATTTGTTCAAACAAGAGGATCTTATGCAGGCTCTGATGTAGGTTAGCTTCACACAACTGAAGGATTTTTTTTCTGTTTCTTTCAGATGGTTATGGCTTACAGCTAATGATTTCAAAATGAAATGATAAATTTACTTCCATCTAAGCAGAAAGATCTGTAATCAGTTGTCTAGATCTTTTGCTCATTTGCCCAGGCTGCTTGTGCACCTTTTTTTCTACCTCGCTTTTACCTTCCACTCAACTTTCCACAAACATACTTAGAAACAGCACTCTTTGAACAACTAGCCTCAGTAGTAGTAGTTCCTCATTATCGCCTAGACCGTGACATAACATTTCTCTATTAAAAATGATGACTGACCCAATTGAGCTGTCGGTTTTCTCTGTATATAACATGTGATTTTCACTTTTCCTGTTGAACTACAGAAACAATTTCACTCTTTAATGACACTCTAGCCTACCGAGACACACCTGGCTGGTGGTCTTGCTGGTTTCGAGTCAATTGTTAACACGCATTGACAGAATCTCAGCAATCTAGCAGCCATCTTTCCCGGCCCTGCTGCTTCCTGTCTCCGCCGTTCGAACATACGGCGCACACAAGAGCAGCGAGGCTTCATATCTCCAGCTCATCACAACGTTTTTTCTTTCTGTTTACTCATGTCTCTCCCCCGTCCACCCCCCACCTCTCTGCTGCTTTCGTCGTCTTCTGCGAGAGGAAGTGGCCGTGCTCTGCAGGGTGCAGTTGCCTGCAGGAAGAGAGAGAGAGAGGGAGTGGAGGGAGAAGGGGGAGGGCGCTCTCCGCCTGATAACACGCTCAAACCACAGATGGTTGAGGGAGGCTGAGAGAGACCGAGGGAGGGAAACGATCGCAAAGAGAGGAGGATTGAGAAAGAGAGGCTCTTGTGTGGGAGGAATCAGTCCAAAGCGATGGAGAGAGGAGGAGAGCGTCTCGTCGTCTCCGCGGAGATCTCTTCTGCTACTTCGGAAGCGGATGGGGATCACTGAGCTCCTCCTTTGCTCCACAGCCAGAACTTGACCCCAGCTGCCGTTTGCCCCCGTCGCCAGTGTGACGCAGAGCCCGGTCTTGAAACAGGATGTGGTTTTGCATGCATGCCTTCATTAGTCTGCCGGCTTAGCAGGTGCCGTCAGGTGAGCGGGGTTGAACTTGACACCAGGCTGTAAGCCGACTCTGAACCGCCGTGGACATGAAGGAGTCCCGGCCTGCTGCGTGAGAGAGCGTCAGCCGGCGACAGCCAGGTGCTCCGCAGCCCGTCTTGCGACAGCAAGCACCAAAGCTTTCTCGAACACGGGCTCGTGAGGAGGAAGTGACACGTCTGTGATCGCTCTTGTATTTCCTGGTCCCGTTCTCCGGCACCGTGAAGCGCTGCCGGATCCGAGCCGAGCTCAGCTGCTCCCAGCCCGTCGCCGGCCTCCGTTTGAACTGGATGCGCCAGCGGAGCGGCTCTGACCTCTCCTGGGTGAGCGAGGGACAGTTGGATGCTTTCGGACTCTTGACTGCGGCTGAGAGTCCCTTCGGCCGCCACGTTCCGAGACGACCCGACGCCCTCCTCGAGCCGCCCGCCGCCCCGGTGTCCTGGAAGACCTCTCCATGACCGTCAGCACGGTGCTGACCCCCTCCATGACCAGCAGTAACAGCATGAGCAGCGGGTACTGCAGCCTGGACGACGAAAGCGAGGACTTCACTTTTTTCACCGCCAAGACCTCGTTTTTCCGCAAGCCCAAGCATGCACCGAAGGTACAGATT